TTTGGTGACGGACATTTCCCCACACTAAATAAAAGTGATATTAACAACAGCCAACATATACTTTATATCACAGTCCTATACACAAAGAAAAAAGTTAAGCACATCCCTATTTCTGAACAAATGGCAAAAATCATGGCATGGGATGACTGACCACAGGAGCTGGGCAATACCAATGTCATCAGATAGAACAAACATTCAACAACAAATAAAAATGATATTTGTGAGTTGTGATTGAAATTTACTGACAAAAACATCATTGTAACACAGGTACTGTTTTTGAACTCAGACAATTCCTAAAAAAAAGTATGGAGCTGCAGGATTAAGTAAACAAGTTACGTTTGATGTTTCATGTGAAAATGTTCCTTAAAGTCTCTACTTGACATGACACATGAAACAGATCAGTAGCGGGTATAACCACCACATGCCCGGATGACGCATTCCACCCTAAGTCTCATGCCTCTAATCAGATGTTGTATCTGTTGATGGGTCAACAACAACCACTCCTGATGCAATGTTGCTTCCAATTGGCGTAAATCTTGCACAGGAGGATCTCGTGCCTATATGCGCCGCCCCAGAATATCCAAAACATGTTCAAGGGGGTTTAAATCTGGGCTCATTGCTGGCCAGGGTAGAGTCGTTATTGCATTGGCCCTCATGTAATCCACGACTGCATGCGAACAAGGGGGCCTGGCATTGTCATCCATGTACTGAGGTCGAGTATCAAGAGGGTGGTTGTCAAAATGAGGAACGACGACTGGCCTCAAAACGTCCTGGATGTACTGAGCCCCTGTTAAGTTGCCCCTTATGGTGACCAAATCTAACCTGCAATCATGAGAGATAAACCCCCAAACCATTACCAAGCCCCAGTTGGATTAATGTTCCTGGGGATGTAGGCCATGCTCCGGTGCCTCCAAACTCTTGTTCTTCCATCAGTGTGGTGGAGCAGAAAGTGACTTTCGGCCCGAAAAGTCGTCAAATGCCCCCTACTGGTACAACGTCATCGGAGACTGCGATTACAATGGTGTTTGGCACACCAAAGGTGGAACCTCAGAACATGGAGACGTATCCATTGGTCAGATGAAAGCAGGTTTCAGCTGCATGTGAATGATGGCCGAACGAGTGAGTGGAGGCACTAAGGTACAGCATACACACCCAAGAACATTAAACCAACTGTTCTGTTTGGTGGTGGCTCCGTGATGATATGGGGTGCATACCCCACGATTGCAAGCTAGACCTTGTGACTATACAGGGCAATCTCAATGGTGAACGTTACATCCGGGAAATTCTGGAACCAGTTGTTGTTCCCCATTTTGCCAACCACCCTCTGGCATCAAGACCCCTGTTCATGGACGATAACGCTACACCCCACCGTTCAAGAGCTGTGACTGCATATTTGGCAAACAACACCATTGCAACTCTACCTTAGCCTGCAATGAGTCCAGATCTTAACCCCATAGAGCACATTTGGGACATTCTTGGGTGTAGAGTGCAGGCAATGGACCCTCCTCCACACAATCTAGATGAATTGGCAGCAGCTTTGCATCATGAATGGGCGCTATTTCCCCTTGAGATGATCCGACATCTGACTGGAGGGTCGAGGAGAAGGGTCGAGGCTGTCATCCGGGCACCCGGTGGCCCCACCCGTTATTAAACTTTTTGACATGCGAATGTCATTAATGGACGTTAATACACATTTTTATTCATTATGTGCAATAATTTACCAGATTAGCAGTGCTATACTTATAGAGGGTGTTGTGTTGTGGTAAAAACAGTACCAGTGTCAATTAAAATTCTGGGTCAAAATTGTTTTGTTTAGCTTGTTCTCAGATGATTGCTCTTTACAAACATAATACTTTCTCCAATTTCACTCTGTCCATTTTATCATGTTCGTGATTCTTATTTACTGTACAGAAAATTTCTGGGGGGCGCTTAATTTTTTTTATGTGTATATGTTGTTATTGAGAGCATTTGTGGTGTGAAAAGCCCATGCACGGATTAAAAGATTAACTGATAATACGGTGATTACGTTACAATTTATCAGTTGGAATACACTTATCACACTAGTGCGATTTCAATCCATTGTGACAAAGCATATGTGTCTGCAGATAAATTGAGCATGTAAATGTTTTCTCACACTCACTGCACTGATAAGGCTTGATTCCACTGTGACTCCACATGTGTGACTCCATGTCACCTGACTGCAAATCCTTTCCCACTCTGACCATAAGTCTTCACTCCACTGTGATACCTCATGTGACTCTTTGTTCCACTTATACCCTCCCATTCCCTACACATCTCATTCATTAGGTTGTATATTAATATACTCATTCATCTCACACTTTGCATTTCTCCCTTCTTTAAGCCTAACCTGAAATAAACTGGTAAAGATAGCCAACCAAGCCCCCCTGCATTACCATGGTTACGTCTAAAAGCTAGGTCAATTACATGCCTCCAGTGCACGCTGTGCCTGCTTGAACTGACTACATGTACACCTCTACCAAATCATTTTCTTTCGCAGAGCTTTAACATGGTTAAGGCTAGAGTAAATGAGTGAGTATGGTTTTAAGCCGCTTTTAGCAATATTCCAGCAATATCACGGCAGGGGACACCAGAAATGGGCTTCACATTGTACCAATGTTGGGAATCGAACCCGGGTCTTCAGCGTGATGAGCGAAGCTTTGACCACCAGGCTACCCGACCATCCCCAGAGTAAATGAGATGCGGGCATTGTAATACCTTCGTATTAATGACACAACTCGAGCTCAATACGAGCCAACTTTACTTCGGCCATGTGACGGTCAGTACAAAAACTTGGTCCGGCAATCTCAAATCAACAATGCATACAAAACTCGAAATCTGTAAACGAAACAGGATCCATTACATCCCCTTTTTTCCATAAGCTAAAAATAAAGATAACACTACTTTAAGTGTCACACTGTTGAATGAAATGTCTGTCTCTCTGAGCACAAAAAAACTTTAACACAAATAAAACCATTATTGCAATTTTAGAGTCACTCAGACAATCGCTGTGGTCTGAAGATTGGTTGACCACTGGATGGGAATGCAATGGGGTTCCTCGATGGAGCAAGGCTTTGCGACACATTCATGTCTGGCGGATTGTCTGGAGACTGTACAGGAACATTCTCTTGGGTAGCATTAGCTGCTCCTTGAGTGGTTCCATCAGGACTTTGGATAGTACTGCAGTCGTCAGGAAGATTTTCCTTTGTTGGAATCAGGTCATGCTTGTTCCTTCGGTACTCTGAGCCACCTTGAGTTCTTACTACCAAAGAACGTGGAGTGCTTGCAGATTTCACAACTTTAGCTGGGATCCAGTCCTTCCCTTGCCTAAATCGCACACTGTCATTCACCTGTATTGGTGGTCTTGGATGAGCTCTCTGATCATAGTAGACTTTCTGGGTCTCTTGTGACTGTGAGATTGCTTGTTTCACTACATCAGTCAACAACTTCAGGTCTGAGCATTTCATATTGCACCGGTAAGTCACTTCTCAACCTGCATCCCATCAGCAGTTGCGCTGGTGAGGCGAGTCCATTTATAGGCGTATTCCTATAAGCCAACATTGCCAGATATGGATCTGCATGACTCTGCCTAGACTTTCGTAACAGCTGTTTGAGAGTTTGGACTGTCTTTTCAGCAAGACCATTGGCCTGTGGATACAGTGGTGACGACGTTATGTGTTCAAACTTCCACTTGTCACTTAAGGTCTTAAACTCAGCGCAGGCATACTGTGGCCCATTATCAGAGACAACATGCATAGGCACGCCATGTCGTCCAAAGATGGATTTGATATGTGTGATGACTGTAGAAGCCTTTGTGTTGGTTAACAGGGCTACTTCAAAATACCTGCTGTAGTAGTCTACTACTACTAAATACTCTCTTCCATCCATATGGAATAGATCTGTGGCTACTACTTGCCACGGGAGGGTAGGTACTTCACTGGAGATCATGGGTTCCTTACAAGGACTTTTCCTGTGCTCTTGACATACTGCACACTGCTCTACTGTTCTCTCAATATCTTTGTTCATACACGGCCAAAAGAGAATCTCTCTAGCTCTTTCTTTTGACTTGGTCATGCCTTGATGACCACTATGAATGCATTGAAGCATTTCAACTCTGAGTTTCGAGGGAATGACTACTTTACTCCCCTTGTACACAATTCCATCAACACAGGAGATTTCCTCTCGAAATGTCCAAAAGTCCTTGACTTGAGCGGAACAGTCTACATGTGTAGCTGCCCAACCATTTCACACTGCACTAATCACTGCCTGCAGCTGTTCATCTTCAACTGTAGTGGATTTTATCTCAGACATCTTCCTATCTGAAATAGGTAAGCCTGTTGTCACCATATGAACATATGCGCTAACTTCCTCATCAAAAGAGTTCAAGTCTGTCAGATTTTCTTCTATAAAGTGTCTGGACAGCATATCAGCCACAGGAATGTCTTTTCCTGGAATGTACTTGACAACAACATCATACCTTTGCAGTCTGATTCTCATCCTCTGGAGACGTAGTGGTACAGCGTGGAGTGGCTTCATTAAAATGCTCTCCAATGGTTTGTGATCTGACATGACAACAAATCTTCTACCCATCAAATAATGATGAAATTTCTCACAGCCAAATACTATGGCCATCATCTCCTTTTCTATCTGTGCATAATTGCGCTGACATGACATCATAGACTTGGATACAAATGCTACAGGGTGTCCTTCCTGTAACAGAACAGCCCCAACACCATTCTGGGATGCATCCACTTGCAGAACGACTTCTTTCTGGGAATCAAAATATCGCAGAACAGGACCTGGTGATCCTGTGATGAGATCCTTGATCTCTTGGAACGTTTGTTCATGGTTTGGAGTCCAATTCCACTGACTGTCTGTGTAGGATCAAAACCGCGTCCGAGGTTTTGTTTGGGAAGTATGCCCGCTGAGGAGGGAAAGGGGGGAGGGCCGATAGGCCCGACCCCCTTTCCCGAGGCCAAGGGCATAATTCCCAAACAAAACCGAGGGCAAGTTTTTGATCTCACTTATGAACTGATCAAATAATATGATTTAGAAATAATTTTACTAATTGGTATTAACTGCAATATGCAGGGCGTACATCCGCGCGCTGCACGTGACGCACGTGCTTCAGGCCCGTTGTAACAATGAGCGCACGTGGTTCAAGCCAGTCGAATGAATTCCACTGAAGAGGATGGACACAGACAACAACGATATATTTCTGACGCAGTCAGTTTTTAAAGAATCGGCATCCTGTGCTGAAGAAGACAAGGAAAGTGATGACTTTAAATTCCGTTTAGGAGATCCACTCTCCGAGCGTGAAATAACCTTACAAGGTACCGTCAAAAGACTGTGCAAGACGTCCGGTATTGAGGGCATGAAGATAAACCATTCCTTGGGAGCCATGGCAGCCACTCGAATGTATCAAGGTGACGTTGATGAACAAATGATTTGCGAAATTACCGGTAGGTTGATAAACATTTTAGTCCTGCAGTAATAAGAAATTGTTATTCAGCAAAATTCATAACATATCAAAGAAATATTTTTTCCAAACCAGTAAGATGCTCTTTTTTATTTATGATATATATGGTAATATTGGTGTTTTTGGAATCTGTAATAGTTTTTAAGTGTATTTGTATGCTGTATGTGTAATACTTTCAGTAATCTGAACAATTTGTTTCAGGACATCGGAGTGATGCCGTTCGAAATTACAAGAGAACTTCTGACAACCAAAAGGCAACGGTCTCTGACATACTTAGTATGTTGAAAAAAATGAACTCGCCATCACGTGAAGAAGCTGATCCGAAAAGAGCAGATGACCAATGACCTGAAGACAAACTAAATCGAACTGTGACGCTCAATTTCAATTTCATCTAATATCAATAAATAGTTGAGCCATGTTCTGTTGGTTTTTTTTCATGCTGAAAGGTAATTCAATACAGAGGGTATTTTTCGGGACAAAAACCAGGCTTTCAGTAGAAAATCTCCCGGGATTTCTTGCAGAAATCCCGGGGCTTACCCTGGGAATGCCCGGTAAACTACCAGTAGAGGTTTAGTCGGTAAAAGAAGACCCTGGCGAGACAATAGAGTGACGTCACTAGAGGTTTATAATGCTTAATCAGATCACGCAGGATGTGAGTTCTCTCAGAAAGACAAGGGGAATACTGTGCAAGATAAGTGAACATTCCCAGATAACCTTCAAGCTCCTTCTTGCTTGTTGGAGTTGTCATTGTGCGTACTGCTTCAACTTTATCCGGGTCTGGTTTCATGCCATCAGAGGTAAGTATTTCACCAAAGAATTTCACTTCCTGCGAACGCAGTTGAGTCTTGTCTGCATTTAACTTGATACTACTTTCTTTTGCAGTCTCAAGAGTGTCCATGAGGTTCTTGTTATGTTCCTCAATGGTTCTGCCACTGATGAGAATATCATCTACTATTGGGTGAGTATAGTTCAGTTTTTCGAAGATTTTGTCCATGCACTTTTGGAACACTTCACTGGCACTTTTAATTCCAAATGGAAGATGTAAGAACCTATATCTACCACATGGAGTGTTGAACGTGGTCAACATGGAGGAGTTGTGGTCAAGTTGTACTTGCCAGTATGACGATTTCGCATCGAGGACTGTGAAGTACTTGTGGTCAGCAATCTTTGAGGTCACATCTTGTATCGTGGGCATTCTGTAGTGCTCACGTTGTATCGCCTTATTTAGGTCAGCTGGGTCAAGGCACAACCTAATTTCACCACTGGCTTTAGGGACGACTACCATAGAATTTACCCACTCAATGGGCTCTTCAACTTTCATGATCACTCCCAAGTCCTCCATTCGCTGAAGTTCCACTTGAACTTTCTCATGTAGGGCAATCGGAACCTTTCGTGGAGCTTGTACTACTGGTTTCACTTCTGGGTCAAGCTGAATACTGTACTTGTCTTCAAGACATCCTAAGCCTTGGAAGATATCTGGAAACATCCTGAGTATTTTCTCAGAACTACTTGCATCAGTAATCAGGCGTTCAATGTTCAACAGGACTTTTATCAGGTTTAAGTCCTCACAGGCTCGAAGTCCTAACACTGAGGGTGCCTCTTCTTGCACTATATAGAACTTTAGGCATACAGACACATTTCTGTAACTACAATCCAGGTAAGTCATACCTGCAATTTTCAACCACTTCTGTCCATAGCCGTAAAGCCTTGTGTCCGGTTTTTCAAGAGGACCTGCAAACTTGCAGACTTTTAGAAAGTCTCTCTCTGACATAGCATTAACTTGTGCTCCTGTATCTATCTTCATAGGTACTATGAACTTCTTGTTCACTAGGATATCTGCATATTGTTCTGAATAGTCTTCACCACTTTCACCCTTTCTATCCTCTATTGTCCCAATAAAGAGTTCATCAGTCTCTAAACTGTGGACTTTTGGGTTGCTTTGACCTTGTTTCCATCTTCCGGACCCTCTTGAGTTCTGTGTTCTAGGTGGATTCCTTGCTACTGTTCTGGACCTACAAACTGATGCATAATGTCCAAATTTGTGACATTTCAAACAATCTGCACTTCTCGCAGGACACATGTCATTCTTTGAATGTGATTTTCCACATCTCTCACACATATCACTACTTGTTTTCACACTAGCCTGTGCACTTGCTGATCGCTTCTGACTACTGTCCCCTAACTTTCTCTGATGAGTATAACCACCACTTCTCTTCTGAATGCTACAAACTGCCTCTGACTGAATTTCTTTCATCTGTTTTTTACTCACTTCAAAACTTCTCGCTATTTCAAGGGCCTTATTTACTGTCAAATCTGCTTCTTGTAACAGTCTTTCTTGTACTTGTTTGTTACTCGTTCCACAAACTATTCTATCACGAACCATGTCATCAGCAATCGCACCAAAGGCACAATCTTTCGAGAGGGTTTTGATTTCTGTCACATATAAATCCACTGTCTCATTTTGGCCCTGAACACGTGTATTAAAGCGAAAGCGCATGATTGTCACATTCGTTTTAGGAATACAATAGTTTTCAAATTTTGTGTACAGAGGTTGCAATTTATCCTTTTCTTCATTTGTCAATGTCCAAGTATTAAATACATCTCGGCCCTCCTGACCAATGTACAACAGAAAATAGCTACACTTTTCCTTTTCATCTTTCGCCGCGAGTGGTCCACTGAACAGCAATTCTATCGTCTGTTTCCACTTTTTCCAACTTTCTGCCACATTAGCGGCATCGAAATTCATGGGCGGAATGTCAATTCGACCTGCCATGACTTCTGACACCATGTAATACCTTCGTATTAATGACACAACTCGAGCTCAATACGAGCCAACTTTACTTCGGCCATGTGACGGTCAGTACAAAAACTTGGTCCGGCAATCTCAAATCAACAATACATACAAAACTCGAATCTGTAAACGAAACAGGATCCATTACAGGCATTGTCCAAATTTTTAAACTTATCCCATATCACACTTTATGGCAATACTTTCAGCAATACTGTTTACATTAATACAGTATTATATTAATAACACAGGGGATTAACAGAATGGTAGTTACAAAAGTAATGATGAATTTCTTATTATCCACTTAACACATGTAAAGGCCACCGGTGACTTGTTTGGTGAAATATGAGATGGAACACATGTTTTGCAGTACAGATTTATAAGATTTACAGTTTGTTTTGTTTGTTTGCAATATTCCAGCTATATAATGGCGAGCTGTAAATAACTGCGTCTGGACCAGACAATCCAGTGATTGACATCATGTGCATCGATCCACTCAATTGTGATACGATGACATGCATTAACCAAGTCAGTGAGCCTGACCACCCCATCCTGTTAGTCGCCTCTTACGACAAGCATAGTCGCCTGTTATGGCAAGCATGGGTTGCTGAAGACCTATTCTACCCCGGATCTATACAGGTCTTTCAGATTTCCAGACCATTTTGTATACTAATGAAAACTAGCAGTTGGTACAGTATGTTTCAGAAGTTCAGCAATACTGTTCACAGTAATCATGGTAATGCAGTATTAAATGTATTATACAGGAGATCAATAGAATCATAGTTACAAAAGTAAACATAAATGTCTTCTTCTTTTTTACTTTAAACAAGTAGCGCCCAAGGCACAGTAGCATATTTGTGTTTTCACAAGCCATTAACCTGATGAAAGCTTCCAGTGAATATAAGATGGAAAACATTCTTGCCGAACAGATACAGCCTTGTGTCTTAGACAGTGAGAGTGTAGGAGTAAACACAACTCCAAGATATCTGTAGAGATTTACAACCTCAATGTTTTGTCCTTTATGACCCCATTTTTCATAAGGGCAGAGTCGACAAGCTTTATGAAATACCATTATTTGTCTTACCCAGATTTATTCCCATACCAGTAACATCACAAAAATCTTCAAGTACATTAATTTTCCTTTGTAATTGAATGGCAGTGTTACTGGCAGTGATACTCCAGATACATCATCAACATCGCTGTGTCTGCTGGGTAGGCTTCATTCTGCTGTGACTCCTCGTGTGTTTCTGCAGGTCACATGATTGGATAAATCGTTTCCCACATTCAACGCACTGATAGGGCTTGACTCCACTGTGAATCCTCATGTGCATCTTCAGGCTCCAGATACATCATCAACATCGCTGTGTCTGCTAGGTAGGCTTCATTCTGCTGTGACTCCTCGTGTGTTTCTGCAGGTGACATGATTGGATAAATCGTTTCCCACATTCAACGCACTGATAAGGCTTGACTCCACTGTGAATCCTCATGTGCATCTTCAGGCTCCAGATACATCATCAACATCGCTGTGTCTGCTGGGTAGGCTTCATTCTGCTGTGACTCCTCGTGTGTTTCTGCAGGTCACATGATTGGATAAATCGTTTCCCACATTCAACGCACTGATAAGGCTTGACTCCACTGTGAATCCTCATGTGCATCTTCAGGCTAGATGACTGTGAAAATGTTTTATCACACACAATGCACTGATAAGGTTTGATACCACTATGAACCCTCATGTGTGCCTGTAAGTAACATGATGATGTAAATGTTTTGTCACACACGATGCACTGATAAGGCTTAATTCCACTGTGAATTATCATATGTGACTCCAGGTCAGATGATTGTGTAAATGTTCTCCTACATTCAACACACTGATAAGGCTTCATTCCATTGTGAATCTTCATGTGTGTCTTAAGGTTATATGACTGTGTAAATTTTTTCGTACACACATTGCACTGATAAGGCTGGACTCCACTGTGAATCCTCATGTGTTTCTTCAGACTAGATGATCCTGTAAATTTCTTATTACACACAATGCACTGAAAAGGTTTGATTCCGCTGTGAATTATCATGTGTTGCTGCAGGTTACCTGATTCTGTGAATGTTTTCTTACATTCAACACACTGGAAAGGCTTGATTCCTCTGTGAATCATCATGTGTCTCTGCAGGTGAAATGATCTTGTAAATCCTTTCCCACATTCAACACACTGATAAGGCTTGACTCCACTGTGAATCCTCATGTGTGTCTGAAGGTTACCTGATCGTGAAAATCCTTTCCCACATTCAACACACTTAAAAGGTTGAGTTCCTGTGTGAATCCTCATGTGTGCCTTCAGAGAACCTGATAATGTAAATGTTTTCTCACACACAGTGCACTGATAAGGCTTGATTTCACTGTGAATCCTCATGTGTGCCTGCAGGTTACGCGATTGTGTAAATTCTTTCCCACAAACAATGCAGTGACAAAGCTTGATTTCACTGTCTTTCTTGACATCACCTGTTTCAAACATTTCTTTCTCACAATCTGTGATAACACATGTGTTAGTAACAGAACCTGGATTCTGTGTTTGGCTTTGTACTTCCATTATTAACTTGTGGATGTTATGGTGTTCACTAAAAATATAAACGAGTT